ATGTATCTAATCCCTCAGACTTTTACCTAGGCACATCTAGAATATATGGCTGCCAACCAAAATCTGTGCTGATGCTACTTGCAATATAAAAGAAATTTTGCAAGAATGAACCACTTAGCTGTGGAGAGAGAAGATTTTCTGTGGTATTATTGCCGTTTCAAAACAGTCATCCAAATATCCATGTGCAAACTATATCGTTTCTTTTTTCAGTAATTTTTAATAGCGGGCATTAATACAGTTGTCATGGAAGTGGCAACACCTCGTCTTCCTATTACCGAGAAAAAATGTTTAACATCTGTTTTTACTAGTTAGCAAGTTAACGATGAACACTTTTTATGAACAGTTTATTTCACGATTGTCCCTTCATAGTTTCTTCTTGCTGCATTGTGGACTTAAACATACTTTTTCTTTGGATCGCCTGAACAACTAGACAAACTCGAACAGCCATCAGCAAGGCTACAGCTGCCAGCACACACCTCTTTCCACCCCTCAGGCATGCTGAAATGAAGGATCTTCTGCTCCATAACCAAATACTCCCTGGGCCAAAGAAATTCTCACTATTAAGCAGTTTCTGCAACCTAGCCGGAAAGGGAACCCCTACACAAACCCTCCCCACTGCATTTCCAGGATGGGAGACACAAGAATGATGCTCACATTTTCTGCCTGCAAGAAACATGAACAAGTTAATATCCCAGACAGCTGCTGTGGGTTTGCTTGCTGAGAGAAATGTGGTTTCTTAATGCACTGGGTACTGAGAGGTGCTATGGCAAATGTGTTTATTTAGCCCCTCCGTATCTCTCCCATAAAATTAACCATTATTTCTGTTGATACCAAGTTAACAGCTCTTAACGACTGCTGTAGTGGTTCAGTACACTAGAAAATACAAATTTAATAAATGAGGGGGAAGGCAGAGAATGCTAAAAACTATCCTTTACAAGCTCATTATCTCCCAAAAAATAAGGTATAATACCCTCTTACTATTTAGGGGAAGTTTCCCCATCCAGTACTTTTAAAAAAAAATTTTAACACAGAATTAAAAGAAGTGCCATCAATCACATGACCCATATTAAATACCATTTTGAGGAAAAAAAAAAAAATTGTGATATGACTCTGTCCTAAGGGAGATTTTGAGGACTGATAATCTCCCTTAATCCAGAAAGCCCGGAGCCACTCCTCTGCCCCTGCTCTGGAACTGGTGTTTCTTTAAGACACATTCCCCGGCCTTCAAAAGCCAAGATCTTCTGAACCGATCCCCTGACTTGTCTTTGGCTTGGACTGCACTCAGCTACTAGGGACATACAAGTTAATACAAAAAGGATCTCACTGGGCAAAATGCTGAGATGTCTCGCAGGAAAGGGGCACATGCTAACACTCAAATTCTTCTCAATTCAGTCTCCCTGATTCCACTGAGAGTTGGGAACTTTCAAAGGAGCCATCCCTGGTTTATCCACATGGGCTCGGTGATTATTCATTGGTGGCTATTTGGAACCGCATACTGTCACAGATTTTGTTTTCAAAACCTGGTTGTCCTCCAGCTCATCCACCAAAAAAAGAAAGATTTCCTACATATATATCTTGTCTAGTTTTTATTTGGAAAGATGTGATTCTAATTCTAGATAGGACTTCAGAACCTGAGGAGAGTCTAACATTCAAGAAACAGTCTTCCAGCGAAAAACATTGTATTTTATTCCTTTGGACACTAAATGTCACAGAGGTGTCTGGGACCAGTCCTGCCAACACTGTGAAGACTGGAAAGCCGAGACATCCAGGGGCAAAGGGACGGCTGTCGGTGACCGCTCAGAGAGCTGGCAGCTGCTTCTTACAAACGTGAAAGCTGAGATGGTCAAACATATCATATATAGAGATAAATCGGCAGAACGAAAGCAGCCATTGCTGTTTAGTTATACAAAAAACTGCAGTGCACTTTTTCACTGTTAACAGCTGCCTCTTTAGTTTTTATCAGAGCGATGGATGGGGTTTTACAGCATAAGCAGCAGCTAAAGCAGAAGTCCATGACTTGGCTTTTCCCTCGTGCTGTGGCCTCTGGGCTGCCATTCACATAAGCACAGCACTAAAATGGACTGGGGCATGTGCAGAATTTACTTTTTGATTACACTGGATTTTCATTTATAGCTTCATCCAAGCTGCCCTGGGCTGGGTGAGATTGGAGACAGTAATGTGCAGGTCATTTCTAAAGAACACCTTCCAGTTAAAGAAAATTAAATCCATTTGCAGTAGAAAATAGCTAGAGAAGAGAAAGTGTCACTAGTAACTTGTAAAATTATATGTCTACGGTGATCATAAACCCAGAACTCTATTCAATAAAACCAGAAATGCCTTCTTACCAAGGATGAACAATAAATGTAATATGCAAGTAAGAGGATATAAATATTCAACAAAAGAAGGATCAAATTTGAATTTTTTTCAAAATCTAGATGTGCTCCGACATATTTTTAAAGATGCTTTGAAGTCTTTTTCGGGCAGTTTCATTTTTAAAGTATTACATGATTTGTCTAACTACATCAGAACTAAATCAGTACTAAAACATCACTAGGGCCACAGCTTTATAAGGCATGGACTTCCTTCTCTTCATCTACATAGAAAAAACTTACAGGAGAGACTCTGAAGGCATGAATATTTGGAGCAATATTGCCTCTTGTAGTGGCATCTGGTTTGATGCAGGCTGTTGCCCCCAGTGGTGCCGCTCCCTGTCATGCCTCGCTGAGCCAAGGATGCAGAGCTGGACCAGAGACATCTCCCTGCGCAAGGGAACAGCCCACGTGTAATGGCAGCTCAAAGCACCTCCCGTACCTGTCTAAAATTGTTACCAGATGAAATCACTGCCTGCATTATTAACTGGCAACTACTATCATTTGAAAAATCTGGAATTAAATCCATTAAACTTCGGACGTCATCAGTATTCCTAGAACTGTCTAGGTTGGGTCAGCTACAAAGGGATTGTAATTGAGAGAAGCATCCATTAAAGTCAGCATAACCCAATTTATGCCAGCCTCCTCATCACTCTGTGTTAATACATTCCTTACTATTACGGTGCCGTTAGGATTTATTTTTGTTAATGCAGTTAATGTCTTATTCAGTTCTTCCATCAGTTGAAAGTTATTTGACAAGGAATGTTTGTTCTGCATCTGGCTTTTCCCCTGCCAGCACTGTCTTCTCATCTCTCATTCAAGTCTCAGCTACCATAGAGAAAAATTTAGCTCAACAGGGTCAAATGCTTTCTGGCTAACATTTCTGCCTCCCTTCCTCCAAAATACAATCACAGAACAAAAACCAGCATGCCAAAATAAAAACGCTATTCGGTGTGTTCTACTTACAGCATTATATCATAATCTGAAATAAAATATTATAATTTCATTACTTAATATGCTGACCAGATTTTGAAGTAAAAGGATTGTATAAGTGGTATTCCTGTCACCATGATCTAAATTACCATTTTAAAACTATTTTTAAAAGCTGTATTTAGTTTTATTATTTTATATAGTAATATCTTTTGTGGACTTTGAATAGCTTCACTACCTTGTAATTGAAAAAGATGCTATTTCCTGCTTTCTGCTATTGCATTTTATCATTGTTATGTACTCTGTCTCAGATATAGCACAACTTGATTATTTTAGTTACATAAAAAGACAAAACTTTTGTTTGAGAAGTCTCAACTGCAATCAGTAGAGCATGAGATTTACAGTGTCGCCTCAGAATTTCAAGAGATCTGCTCTTTAAATCCTTATTCAGATTTGCCACATGCCTTGCTCGCGTATGCTTTGTATTTAATTCAAAGCTTGTTGAACACATGCACTAACCTGTTTAACCTTCACTGTGAAATACTGCAAAGATGTACTTTATCTGCCAATATTGATGTGCGCAACGAGCCAAGAGGAATACCGCTAGGCACATGAAATCACCACCACAAGCACTAGTTGGAGAAAATCAGTTCATGCAGCATCACCATCACTGACGCAACATACTTCCGAACTGGAGGACAGGCAGCTGTTGTATTTAGCACCACAGGCCCCGAATTGCACATTTTTACACATACACATACAGAAACTCTCAAAACTGTATCCATGCTTTTTACAGCAGCAGTAATACGTAGGTTTGCAGATAACAAACTGTTTCCCAGAGTTTACTTTTTCACTAAAGTGAGAATGACAAAGATTTTACTAAGAGCTTAGATTTTTCTTGAATATGTGTTTAAAGACCCACGACACAACAGATTTTCTGAGGTACATTGGACACTGCTGGGTTAATTTAAACATACTCTTGCATGAGCAACTTCAGGCTAAAAAGATATAAATTGTGTGGTTTACACAGTAATTTGGAATTGTGGTAAACAATTCACATATGATGACTGTCCTTATTTTAGCTGTTTGTACTGCATTGTGAATCAAGGACAGTACGTTCATTTAATCAAATTTACTGTTATTGTTTGGTGCTTAGCTGGATTAAATCTAAGCTGTTATCTGGAACCTATTTGATTAACTCAGACGAATTTTGGCAAAGTTCATATGCATTTAGCTTGAAACTTATAAATCAACATCTTCCTGAGCCTTAATTCCATGCACCTGAAATCCGAGGCCTGGGGACAGCTCTGGCACCCTGACTCCCATCGGGATTATCCTCTGCACACTCATTTGAGACCTAGCTGCACTCGCAAGCATATCCCTGATCTTTAGCACTTCTCAAGCCATTCAAACAAATATTGCAGAGTAAAACTGAAAGGTATCCAACAGTTTTGTTTTCAGATGATTGCATACATCGTTACAGTCACTCACTTGGGAACTATCAGAGAGTTTTCTCATGTAAATCCCAAGTAGAAGAGAGTTCCAAACCCTACATAACTACCAGATGAGGATTTTCGTAAGAGAGATGTTAAAATAATGATTGTTTTCAGATATTTTTCTTTAAAGGATGAAGAAATTAAATAATATATGAACTGTATATGAGATGAGCATAACATATACCCTAATCTGTTTTCAGGAACTTCTTCAGACACTGATTTGCAGAAGATTCTGGAACACAGAGGAGCAGCTGAGAGTCTTCAGACCATTTCTTGTCTTCTCTAAACTCAGAAAATCATCTTTCACCTTCTGGATGTCCAAGCCTTTCACCTTAAACTTTAAGCTTTACATTTTCTGCCTGATAACAAATTACCCTCTCAATCTATTGTTATTTTAAGGGGCTGGAGAGCTGAACTCACTAGCTGACCAGCATGGCAAAGGTTAGAGTCGTTTTAACTGTTTGCCAGTTGGTGCTAGAATTGTTAATGAATTCATTAACTGAGTCTTCCATACAGAGTAATGAATGTCCACAGCTTTGTGTATGTGAAATCAGGCCATGGTTTACACCACAGTCAACGTACAGGGAAGCCACAACAGTTGACTGCAATGACCTTCGATTAACAAAAATCCCCAGCAATCTTTCCAGTGACACTCAAGTCCTTCTGTTACAAAGCAACAATATTGCAAAGACCACAGATGAACTCCAACAGCTGTTTAATTTAACAGAACTGGATTTTTCACAAAATAACTTCACAAGTATCAAAGATGTGGGGCTCTCAAATCTCACTCAACTTACTACTTTGCACCTGGAGGAAAACCAGATAACGGAGATGACTGACTACTGCTTGCAAGACCTTTGCAATCTTCAGGAGCTGTATATAAATCACAACCAGATCAGCAGCATTTCTGCAAATGCGTTCTCTGGCCTGAAGAATCTTTTAAGATTACATCTCAACTCCAACAAACTAAAGGTTATTGACAGCCGTTGGTTTGATTCTACTCCTAACTTAGAGATTCTCATGATTGGAGAAAATCCAGTGATTGGAATACTAGATATGAATTTCAAACCACTCTCAAATTTAAGGAGTCTAGTTTTGGCAGGTATGTATCTCACAGACATTCCCGGCAATGCCTTGGTAGGCTTGGATAGTCTTGAAAGTCTTTCCTTCTATGACAACAAATTGGTAAAAGTTCCTCAGCTTGCACTTGAGAAAGTTCCAAATTTAAAATTCCTGGATCTCAACAAAAATCCGATTCATAAAATTCAAGAAGGTGATTTTAAAAACATGCTCAGATTGAAAGAGCTTGGAATCAATAATATGGGAGAACTTGTTTCTGTTGATAGGTATGCGCTGGACAACCTGCCTGAACTTACAAAGCTTGAAGCCACCAACAATCCAAAGCTGTCTTACATACATCGTTTGGCATTTCGCAACGTTCCTGCCCTGGAGAGCTTGATGCTGAACAACAATGCCTTGAATGCAGTCTACCAAAAGACGGTGGAATCCCTTCCAAACCTGCGTGAGATCAGTATCCACAGTAACCCGCTCAGGTGCGACTGTGTCATTCACTGGATCAACTCAAACAAAACCAATATCCGTTTCATGGAACCTCTATCCATGTTTTGCGCTATGCCTCCAGAATACAGAGGACAGCAGGTGAAGGAAGTGTTAATACAGGATTCAAACGAACAATGTCTTCCAATGATCTCTCATGAGACCTTTCCAAATCACTTAAACTTGGACATCGGCATGACAGTGTTTTTAGATTGTCGGGCCATGGCAGAACCTGAGCCAGAAATTTACTGGGTCACTCCTCTCGGCAATAAAGTAACTGTTGAAAGTCTCTCTGACAAATACAGGCTGAGTAGTGAAGGCACCTTGGAAATCTCTAACATCCAGGTTGAAGACTCCGGGAGGTACACCTGTGTTGCTCAAAACATAGAAGGGGCTGACACGAGGGTTGCTACTATCCGGGTGAACGGAACGCTTTTGGATGGTACCCAGGTTCTGAAAATGTACGTTAAGCAAGCCGAATCGCATTCAATCTTAGTTTCTTGGAAAGTTAATTCCAACGTCATGACTTCCAATTTAAAATGGTCATCGGCCACTATGAAGATTGACAACCCTCACATTACGTACACTGCTAGGGTCCCGGTTGATGTACATGAATATAACCTCACGCATTTACAGCCATCTACAGATTATGAAGTGTGTCTAACGGTGTCAAATATCCATCAGCAAACACAGAAGTCCTGTGTTAATGTTACAACAAAAAATGCAGCTTTTGCGCTAGATATTTCAGACCAAGAAACCAGCACTGCCCTCGCAGCAGTAATGGGATCCATGTTTGCTGTCATTAGCCTCGCCTCCATTTCTGTTTATATTGCAAAAAGATTTAAGAGAAAAAACTACCACCACTCATTGAAAAAATACATGCAAAAGACCTCTTCAATCCCACTGAATGAGCTCTACCCTCCACTTATTAATCTCTGGGAAGGTGACAGTGAAAAAGACAAGGATGGTTCTGCAGAGACCAAGCCAACCCAAGTCGACACATCCAGAAGCTATTACATGTGGTAACTCAGAGGATATTTTGCTTCTGGTAGTAAGGAGCACAAAGACTTTTTTGCTTTATTCTGCAAAAATGAGAAGTTGAAGACTTTTGTATTTTTGACTTTGCTAGTTTGTGGCAGAGCGGTGAGGACAGGTGGATATTTCAGAATTTTTTAGTATAGCGTATCGCAATTGTTTGACACAAATGGCAGCTTCACCTAGCTTCCAATTCTTTTTTTTTTTCCTTTTTTTAGTTATTGTGCTAAACTTAATGCTGTTCTAACTACAGTGCTGAATAAAATTAATGAGCGGCTGGGGTTACCCTGTGATTCAAAAGTAGCACAACCCCATTCTTCTGAAGCCATCACTAGAGTACAGTATCTTGCAAAGCTAACATACAGTTTTGAAACTGCATTGAACTAGGTTTGTAACGCTGGTCTGAGGACTCATACACTGAGAAAAGGAGACCTTGAATGATGTTAGTTGACTGTACTGTAATGTTGTATCAACTGATTTGAATGTTTTCGACTTTGAACAATGAGTTTTCTTTTTTCTTTTTATTTTTGTAGTAGTTGAGAAGGCTTAGGTAAAGCTAACAGGCAATAGAAATATGTACATCCAGTTTTTTAATGTAACAGACTAAATGTTAATTGTTCTCTTATTCTTTTTATTATATTTAGTAGACACTTTGGAAGAACACTAGAGTTTTGTTGTGTTTAAATCACCAACACATGGTGATTTAGTTTTGTTCTGATTTTTTATTTTAGAAGTCACAATAATGTATTGGGTTTAGATGTCACTAGTTTGACTGGTGATCATGTTTTGACATAAAATATATCCAAAATGTTATATAAAAATACTGTGTTTTTTTCCTCGATGGAATTATGTTTCAACAAAGTTCCAATTTTTTAAAATGCATTTATTTTAATAGCAGTGTTTTCTCTGCACTAGATGCAAAATATTGAAAATAATATAATCAGAAAAATGTATGGGTATGGCTTTTGGACTGTAAGTCGCGTGCAGAATCAAAACTGTTTGGCATAAGGTATACAGCAAAAATAATTCTCTGAGTTTGTAACAAAACATATTCCTTTTTGTACACTTTTCTGTTTATATTTTGAGCTAAGATACAAATGAAGCTGACATTTAGCTGTCATTATAATCAGTTAGGACAAAAAAACCCCAACAACTCAGTGCTACCAAACTGAAATAAAACAGCTGAATCCTGGCATATATTTTAAAAAAAAAAAAAAGTGAATTGGATTAATGTTCCTTCAAAAGCAGAAATTAAGATAGCTAAAACTAACAATACAGTAATACGTTTGGGTCCACTACTGAACTGTATTTTTTACAGGCTTGAAGTTAACCAGTACTCAAGTATTTTACTGAATTAATATGTTAGAAGTGCAAAAACTCAGAAAGCAGTGGTGTTTCTATGTATAATATAAATGCATAATTTACAGTTGAACCTACAGAAGCTTTGTACGTTGTCTTTTCTGAATCCATGAAAGTTCTCTGCAGGGACTGCACACGAGTCACAGGCAGGGTGGGTTTCTCGTGACGTACGTGGCTACAGTTATAATAGATACCTAATCAGAAGCACAGAATTTTCTACACTTTATGACCACTATCAATGTGCAACTTTTTACATGTTTTTACATATCAAATACGTTCTTGGTAAGTAAAAGTTAATTGTTAAAATAATGGATGTGCCTGGGTTTTGAGGTTGTCTGAAGTTTTTTAACTCACTAGCATCTCAAATATATCAAAGACCCCTCCCAAAATTTACAAATAGCTTCAAACTTCTTTTTCCCCTTCAGCCAACTGCCTGAAAATGAAAAGTTATCAGCATAGTTTCACTAATAAGTTGCTTTGGTGCAAAAACTTCAGTGCGTCCCTTGGATATAGGCCTTGTTGATCTTGCATTTCAACGTAAAGCTGAGTGAAGCTATTAATTATGCATTTAAATCAAGTACTTATGCTACTATACACAATCTTTTATATGTTCATGAGATCTCATACATTTTTAATCATGTGATAATTAGATATTGGGATGAGGCAAGTGTCTTTTGATCATGGAGAAGTAGCATGGTGAAAGCATTTATTCGTCACCTTCTCCTGTATTTGTTTCTAATGTTAATGGAAATTTTCCTCTTGCCTTCTTCTCCAGAAAAGCTTCAGAGCAATAATTATCATCTTGTCTATACTCTATTCTAACCTTAAAACTGCCTCTATTGTTATAGCAGGCATGATGAACTAAAACGGAGATCTTTTTTGCAGTGAAGATTCACTCTACTTTTTCCAGAGAAAAGGACACACTGAGGACAAGGTTGACAGCAAAATTACGGCTTCCAACTTGCATGACATCATAAAATTGTCTTTAGAAAATAATTAATTGAACACGTGTTGGTGCAGAGCAAGCCCCTTTCTCCATCATCCCCTCGGCTTCCAGCAGCACCTGAACAGCTATACTGTAAATAGTAATGACGACCACGCAAAGCCCACGGTGCTCTACCTGAGCCTCCTACTGAACTTGTGGAAGAACACATCACTTTGGGTCCAAGACGTTGGTTCATCAGTCACCGTAAGCTAACCTAAGCACGGGGCTGCCCTCCAAAACAGCGGTCCTGCTCTTCCTCCTCCCTGTCCCCATCTCCCATCCTCAATTACACACAGCTTTGAGATCTGCTTGCCTTCTGAACATGCTCATATCGCCCAGTCCCTGCTGGTGGAGACAGACCACAGTGAGAAATTTGCTCTGTGTGTGTGTGTGTGTGTGGCTGGATTTGTTTTCACCTGGCTATCTTCTGCACTTCGGGCAGTTTCAGAAACACAATGACTGGCAAAAAGGAAGGTGGCAGGGACACACGGCCACAGAGCTGGACAAAGCAGCACTCAACAGTTTGACCAGCAATCGCCAACAGCAGCTGGGGGGTACGGGAAGTAAATCAATGTTTAACATGTTCCTTTCCACTGGGGAAACAACGGGCCTTTTGTTCCCTGCAGACCTATTTGACAGTTTTATGTCATTGGTTATCTTTTTAGAGCAATGCTGTTGAAGAACAGCAGGAGAAAATGGCCTTATGACAGCCTTACACTTCTCCAGGATGTGCTGATCTGCAGTATTTCAGGGTAGCTGATGTTGCTGGGACTCCAGGAGAGAGATGCAGGTTACCTGAGAGCAGCTAAGCAGCAAGAAGCACCTAGTTAACGCTGTATATTCTGCACACACAGCCACCAGTAATAAGTATTTTCAGCCTTGTAATTGGACCCCTTAGAACTCTGTACAGATCCCCTGGAAATTTAAAATTTTGCTAATAAAAGAAAAAAGTGGCTAAGAGATTAATCACATGTGGCATATAATCTCAGTAAATAACCTTCAACTTTGTGCTAGCAATTTTGTGCTTGCAGTTTATTGTGAGCAAAAATAAAAATACTCTGCCTAATTGCCTTCAAAATGTATTTGCATCTACTGTTCACTGAAGACAAAAAACCACCCCCAGTTTGCTCAGAATCAGAGATTAAGACTGGCCACTTTAAAAACAGTATGGGAAAAAACACTGTTGTCTTTCATTTGGCTAACAGTTTAGAAATGCTGTGTAAGAGTAAATATTTCATAGCCAACTAAACTTCTGCAGTGTTACTTCCACTTGGTTGCCCAATAATAAAATATTTCAGTCCCCTGAAGAGTAAATAGCTCACTTCAGTGTGGTATGCAGTATTCCAGGTAAATCCACTTTTCCTCACCTAAATCATAATACCATATTGAATCGAGAAAGGATATTTTCACCCATGAACCAAGACTCATGCTGGACGTGGTCTTGGAATAAAGTGCACAAATACACCGATACTTTCATACAGCTACGATCTGCCTTCCAGCCCTGTCTCGTGACCTCTTCAGCTTATGAAGAGAAAAGGCCAACAGTTTGGACCACTGGTTTCATAAATGGGTTAAAAGTGGAAATAGGTCAGCAAATCTGAGGTGCGGTGAGAAGTGCATAAACTTGCCCTAATGCCACTGACAAGCTGGGATGTAAGTGATAAAGGGAGCATCTTTTTGAGTTCAAATTAGGCAACTCCTTTTGCTTTGTGCTGGCAACCTTGAAAACAAGACTGAGGACAAACCACTGCAATGAAATTCCCAAAATTAAGTGGGATAAGCAGCTGGGGGATACTTCTGCCACATCTCCACCACAGCCGATGCACCCTGTACGGGAACAGGAGAATTCACTTGGGGCGTATCTCCTCCTAATCATCTCACTGTCCTGCAAAGCATCGTGATGGACATGTGCACAATGGGCGAGTCGTGGTGGAAAAACACACAGGCATATGGGACTGGTACCAAAAGGAGCTGTTTCACAATCCACCAAACACACTAGGAGTAGCTGTTTGTTACACTGTGATCCTGTTCCATGACCCACCACCGAAATGAATGCCATGAATTTCTGCTGCCACTGGCATTTGCCTTCTCACGCTCACCATGCTGACAGCGCAATCGCTGCAGCCCCAGTGCCCATAGCTATGGAAACCCCAAGACTGAAGGGCAAGGTGAACGTGCTACAATTGAACTTCTTTCTTCAGGAAAACCCGGAGTGCCTGAGCTGGAGACATCAAACGCTGTTACACATAGCCCTTCTTAAAATACCGGCACTGTATCCCTGCAAAAAAAAGATACTACCGCTACCGAAACCCCTAGATAACATTTCTTTGCAGTGTCATACAGAAGTGAATGTTTTGTGTTTCTCTTGAACTGTCAACCTTTTAATCTTCTCCTTTTCTGCTTTTTCCAACTATTGCAATTTTTTACATTTGGGAACTTTTATCCACCCACTCTCTCGTACGTTTGCTCTGCAGTCAGCCTTCCCTGGTCTCATCCTGCCCTACGCCCTTCTGCCATTCAAGGGCAAGTCCTTTACAGCCTTGGTCATCACGAGATCTCAAGAGATTACACTAAAGGACTTTTAATTTGTATTTAACTTTGCAGCTACCTGTTTCCTCTGCCAACCTTTCTCCCTTCTCTTAATTCTTACCCTGTTTTTCTTTCAGACATTTCTGTTTGGAGACCTCAATTGCTGTTGACTGTCAGTAAGAGTCAGATCAAGGATGCGATGCCAGCAGGCAGCGTTTCAGTGCTACCTTGCCGCCTCCCCACTTACTGCTAATGCACAGGACTTTGGCTTCCACTTAGCAAAAACCCTACATGTCTTCCCATGTCTCCCTGCTCCAGTTCTCTATCCACTCTTATTCGTGAGCACATCATGACCCTGTGTTATGTTTTCTACTGGTATGAAAGCAACAAAAGACTAATTTTTCTTTCTAGTAAGGTAAAGGAGATTTACCATAAAATTTGTACTATTGTGTATTTATGTCAAGTAGACCAAAGGAATGCTGAATCATAATAAAAGAGTCATAACAACACTTTTTTAAATACATGAAAATAAATACTTTGGAAAAACTGGAACTGATCATTAAGTAAAATTTTCAAAAGCAACTAAATTACTTAAGAGCTCACATCTCATTAACTTCAGTGGTACGTTAGGTGCAAAATCAGGTAAATGAGATTTTTCTCGAGTGCATCTGGAACTATTAACTTTCCTTAAATTCTGAGCAGCTGTGAAACATTTTCTGTGAAATTTTATAACATGGATTTTTTTCAAAAATCACTTGAAACCATAATTTTGATCTCAGTTATGGGGGCAGGGGGATGGGATTTAAATCCTGTCATCCTCAG